CTTCCTTCCTTCCTTCCTTCCTTCCTTCCTTCCTTCCTTCCTTCCTTCCTTCCTTCCTTCCTTCTTCTTTCCCTCCTTCCCTCTTTCCCTCTGTCCTTTCTTTCCTTCCTTACATACAGCTTGATTTTATGGAGGTTCTTCCTCTCTCCTTTCCTCCCTCCCTCCCTTCCTTTCTTATATTTATTTATTTTATGTGCTTTGGTGTTTTGCCTGCATGCATGTCTGTTTGAAGGTGTTGGGTCTCCTGGAACTGGAGTTACAGACAGTTGTGAACCATGTGGGTGCTGGCTGGGAATTGAACCCTGAATCCTTTGGTAGAGCAGCCAGTGCTCTTAACCTCTGAGCCATCTCTCCAGCCCCTGAAGGCATTTTCTTAATGGAGGCTCCCTCCTCTCAGATAACTTATATCAAGTTGACAGAAACCTGGCCAGGATGAACACTAGGAAGAGCACCTGGAGGAGGTCACGTGGTAGAGTTCACACCCTGCTTGCTGTTGTTTGCTGGGCTGTGCGCTACACAGCTCCTTATCCTATACCAGCCAAGTGTCATAAAAGCTACAGTTAGGGGCGGGGTGGGAAGATGGCCAGGTGGAGGGAGGCACTGGGACAGAGCTGATGGCACTCTAATGGAACCAGGAACCGGCCCCGAGAAGCAGGCTGAGGGGACATTTTATCAAAGAAATAGACGCAAGGGGGGGGGGCGGGGCGGCGGCGGTGGGGGGGATCAAAGTCTCTCCTGGGGAAGTGTAGAAAAACAAGGGTAGGGGACCCAGAGTGGGGGGCTGGGAGCTTTGCCCCGTATAGGGATGGAGCAGCTCAAACCATTCTGCTTGGCTTCTAAGGGAAAGGGACACCCCAATCCCAGTGGCTAGGGGTGCTCTGGGTTTGCACTGTTGAAGAACGTATCTTTTGCGGCACAGAGCCGCCATCTTCTAAATGTGGCTGGCTAGAACCAGTATTTTCTTCAACTAGCTCGTCACCAGTGTATCTCTTTTGGGGACACATACGTACCGAGACCACTTTGGTTTGTTCTGTTGGCTCCTATCACAGCAGTAACTGTGTAGGGCCGCGGTACACAGGGACGCTTTGTGTGCCACGGCAGGTGATTGGCAAGGCTTAAGTACTAGCTAGGAACTTGCCTTACCATTTCCTTGCCTCAGCTTTGAAGGACATAACCCAACTTCATATCTCAGACAAACTGTCGCCATAGAACTTTAAGGTGTGCTGTGCTGAAAACACACATGTCAGCTGCTTTTACCACCTACAAGCACTTTATTGACACTGCAGCATTTCAAGTTCGCACCTGCTGTTCTTCCCTTAAAACTCCTGGAAAAGGAGGGCTGGTGTAGTGGGTGGCTGTTCTTGCCAGGCCCTGAAGCACCGCCCCTAGTGAGGCAGCAGGTAACTGTTACACCTGCCTGTGACCTTGAAGTACATGACCCTGGGGTGTGGCCACTCGGGACCCTAAAGACCTGGGATGTGCGTACATTGCTCTCTCTTCACTACCTTGTAGTTTTGGAGGCTGGGACAGACTAGGGTAGATCTCGCCAGAGAACAGCATTGGACTGTGCCTCACCCTTCCAGGATCCTGCGACAAATTCCTTTATTCTGTCTTGTGAGTTAACCCCCACAAATAAATTCCTTTGCTCATTAAGCAGACTCCGTGGATTGCTATTGATATTTCTCCTTTTAGGCTGGGCTCCAGCTCATCTGATAAGAGTGTCTATTTGGCATGCCCCCCCTCCAGTACCACACAAATGGGGTGCTGTGACAACCCTGTAATGTCAGCATTTGGGAGGGGAAGGAAGGGGGGGTCAGAAATTCAAGGTCATCCCTGACTATATGGTGATTTCAAGGCCAGCCTAGCTCAAAAGCAAAGCAAAAAACTCCCGGTAAAGCAGTACCAAATGAAAGAATAGAAACTTACAAATGTGTCTAAGGAAATTAGTAGTTAACCACAAGCCCTGTATTTGGGGAT